TCAACTTTTTTTCTTTTCTTAAACATGAACAAGAGTGTCTGAACAATAGTTTTATAACAATCGGAAACCCTTTTGAGAGGACCATCCTCTCGAAATTTCATTTTGAACCCAAATTTGGCCTGAAAAAGGGCCGACACGGCTTTTTTCCACGGGATCCCTGACTTCGTATGTGACCGTTCTCAACTTTTTCTTTCTTAAACATGAACAAGAGTGTCTGAACAACAGTTTTATAACAATCGGAAACCCTTTTTGAGAGGACCATCCTCTCGAAATTCCATTTTGAACCCAAATTTGGCTTGAAAACTTTTTGGTTTTACCCTTCCAATGAAATTATTGGTTCCCTCAATACAGATCTTGGCCCTTTTAACTTTTTGATGAGAATATAAAGATGAGAACTGAAAATAAATTTTATTTTGAACCAATTCCAAAATGACCGTTTACCTAGGAAATCCACTTTTGAATAAAAATTTCGCTTGAAAAATCGAAAATATGGTTATTTTTTTCACAAAAAAATAGTCACATGACGAATGTCTTGTTTTTTTAGGTATGAAAAATTTTTGAAGATTTAGAACTACTATTTAGGTTATAATAAAAAAACATTTATAAAAAAATCACCTTGAAAGTTAAGTTTCAACCTCACCGGTGGTCAGAGTGTCGGGTTTTCTCTTTCATGAAAAAATTACTTGGTATTTCACATTTCTCATTTTTTTGATTACCTGTTTTGAAAAATAAATTGGCAGAATAGATTTTTGCTGTAAATGATAAAAAAACTTCAAATGGGGAAACTAAGCCGATATTTGAGTTCAAAATGGAATTTCGAGATGATGGTCCTCTCAAAAGGGTTTCCGATTGTTATAAAACTGTTGTTCAGACACTCTTGTTCATGTTTAAGAAAGAAAAAAGTTGAGAACGGTCACATACGGGGTCAGGGATCCCGTGAAAAAGGCCGAGTCGGCCATTTCAGGCCAAATTTGGGTTCAAAATGAAATTTCGAGATGATGGTCCTCTCAAAAGGGTTTCCGATTGTTATAAAACTGTTGTTCAGACCCTCTTGTTCATGTTTAAGAAAGAAAAAAGTTGAGAACGGTCACATACGAAGTCAGGGATCCCGTGGAAAAAGCCGTGTCGGCCCTTTTCAGGCCAAATTTGGGTTCAAAATGAAATTTCGAAATGATGGTCAACCCGAAAACATCTCAAATTGAAATAAAAATCAATAATAGACATCTATGAGTGAAATGGAAACAAAGATTGGAATGGATCTGTGAAAAATGAGCCGTCCGGCATCATGGACTTCACCCACTTGGCCGCCGCAAGACCACGATTGCGCGCCTTCGGGGAGATTTTTTTCGAAATGATGGTCCACCTAGGATTTTTGTCGAACTAGTACCAGCTTGTACAGCTTCTCATAAGGTATATTTTTGAGAAGTTAGGAAGAATAGATCTCCTGGCTCAAGCTCATGGTGGTCGAAAAAAACTGACTCGGCAGACACAAAAAAGTACCGTAACTCAAAAATTTTTTTCGACCGTAACCCAAGATGGTATGTACTGTAAAAAGTTCTTGACATTGGATTACCTATCGATTGATATATCACTCGCCTAGTAAAAAAACTCTTCAGTACTGAGATACGCAGGTGCCCACCTGCCTACCGTAACCCGGCTACAGTAAGAGGGAATGGCTCAAAAAGTTGGGTCCGCATTTCTGATGATGGGGTATCACACTGGGTGAAGTTTCATCCAAATCAAAAAATATTTTTTTTTATTGTACCCGTTGCTTTTAGAAATTTTTGAGAATAACGGAGACAGCGTGTTAAACTCTATTGAGGAATAGTTTATCCCAACTAAAATTTTTGATGCTGACACATAATCTCTGTTGATCTGATTGAAAAAAAGAACCAAAAACGTAAATTTCTTCATTAAAAAGTAAGATCCTTGATTTGCAGAAATTGCGCTTTTTGGGCCGGGATTCTTTGCTTATGGACTCACTGAGGCCGGGGCTTAGAAAGTGACCCAGGCCCACAGTTTGATGGGCCGGCCCCTATTAACTTTTCATTTAATACAAAAGTTCATTTCCAAGTTGACGCTTATTAACGTCATTCCAGTGAAATTTTTGCCACGATTCTTGGCGACAAAATGTCATTGGAGGCTTTTGAATAAGTCCAATCTTTTAAAAGCACAGTAACAAGCCCTAGAGCTGAATGAGCATTCAAACATTTACCAGCAAAAAAACCGAAATAAAATCTTCGGAAAATCTTCATTTAGCAGAAGTAAAATGCAGAGATCATAGAGAAGCACTGAGATAATATGCAAGGCACAACATCACAATAAATATACAATTTGAACAGGTTCAGTAAATACATTTTTACAAAAATTCACAGGTTTTGATGTTTTCTTTCTGGTAAGAAAGGACTAGATTTTTACTTTGATGGTAGAGGATATTTTGTTGCGGCAAACGGGACAAATGGCGTTGGGATTGGCGGTGAGGACGTCGTTGCACTGGTCACACATGCACAAATGCTGGCAAGGAACCACCATCACTGATTTTTCGCGCAGAAGACACACACTGCACGTCATACGGTCCTCGCGTCTGAAAATTTCGAAATGGAAAAAAAATCGTGCTTTTTATTCTGAAACCGTACGCATGAACGTTTTCACAGCTTGAACGAGTCTAATCATGTAAACTTTAACTCTATTCTAAAATATGCGAATTTTGTTGGATGGAAGAATTAAATAAGAATAAAACAAAAATATTTCGTTTTGAATTTACTTTACGCTCTCAAATTTACGCTGCGTGAACGTTCATCAGTACTGAAGATAGTGCTTCCACTTTTAGCTTTTCAAATTTCGTAAGATAAATTCTTTGATTTGTTTTTAACAAAAACCACATGAATAGACCACCCGCATGGAGATTTACTCATACCAGGAAGATTGAACATTTATTTGGTGAACCTTTTCGTACAAAACTTCCTTTTGAAACGAAAAATTTGATCTTTAACACTTTCATATATAGTAAATAATCTGCTCTGTAGCTATTTTACACTTTCCTTCAACTCCTCAAATTCAACTGAACTAATATAGTCGTTCTATCGATACTATGAAGGATAAAGAATAGTGACCGAAAACTTTCGTAAAAGCTGATGAACCCATTGAATAAAATGAAAATCAAAACTTCAAAACTTTTAGAAATTTTCTCACTTCGCCAAAGAAGTGAATTTTTCAACTAAACCACCGAAAATGCCGAAAAGACAAACTCACGTCAAAGATTCGACAGTCCTGCGGATAGGAATGGCTCTGAAAGTTGATTATTTTTCAATTTAAAAAAATTTTTCAATATTTACCTCTGGTCGACTTTTTCTGCGATTCCCAAGATCCATTCTACAGGGTGCAAGGCGATTCGCATAACTGCAGTGAATACATGAACCTGAAAAAACATTCGGTTCGAAATATTCCATTTTAGATTCTACCTGCGGGAAGAAGAAGCCGACGATAGTGAAGAACCAGGCCAAGGCGTAGGGCAAGACATTGTTGATGAAGTAATTGACGAAGGAAACATCAGAGACACGTTTGACCATATAGAAAAAAGCGATTACAGAGAGGAGCGTGACAAGAGTGAAGAAAGGGAAACTCGTCGCGAACCACTGACAATAACGGATGGGGGAGAGGAGGAGCCAGATAAAATAGACCATGCCCCGGAGGACGAGGCCGAGGATCGTCAGAGGCACTAGCATGACTTGTTTGCCGAGTTCTAGCAGGTATTTGGGAAGCAACGAGCGGGACTGGAGCAGCTCGGCGACCTCGACCAGCGCCCATTCACAGAACGCCGTGTAGCCGTCGATGAGCCCCAGCGCCGTGTCCTTCATTCGAACGCCCACCGTTTCCTCAAATCGTTCCATTTATTCTTAACTTCTTTTTAAATGTCCTAAAAGGAAGAAGACTTGAGAGCTCGGAAATTTCCGGAGAACGGAACTGCTTGATGAACTATATCGTTTTGTCACCTTTCTGCTTTTTTTATTTCCGTTTACAGTCGAATAAAAACAAAGAGGAATTTTTTTTTAAACATATGTAGATCTTGAAAAACGTATTCTACCCAAGCTAAAACTTTTCAAGAATAGATGCCTAAAAAAATTCTTCGAGTTTCTGAAAACGAAAAATTTGAAGTCCTTGTTCTCAAAAACGTGATTTCAATTCTTGAGGATCTCAACACACGTTCTCCGAGAAAATCGATGTACTGAGAAATCTCTTGGTACAAGAATTTCAAGTTGGTTCTTCAGAGCCCGTTTTGCTATCAGAGATACTACATAACTTCTTCAACTCATAAAACTTGGTTTTTAGAGGCTCCGCCCACTTTCAGGGTTACGGTAGAGAAAATACCAAAAAAAAAAACTAAGTTTTTTCCTGGTGGAACAAATCGGTTCAAACAAACTTTAACGTGAATATTATGCCATTTTGAGCATTTTTCGGGCTGATAGGGACTCTGGGAAAAATTTCCTACCTGCAGAAAAAAAATCGATTAATGTTGAAAATGACGATTTTTCGATACTTGTGGGTTTTTCTTGGTCAGGAGCCCCCGGTGCCATTTTTTCGATTTTTCGGAAATTTCAGCTGATTAGCTAATTTTCAAATTTTAGGCTCTAATGTGTCAGGGACCCTCGATGTCGTGGATTTTTATTGTTGCATTTGACGTGTTTGACCTTTGTGAGTAAAGTTTGTTTGAACCGATTTGCTCCACCAGGAAAAAACTTCTTTTTTTTTGGTATTTTCTCTAGCAATTATCTGCAAGTCTCAAAATTTTCTCTAACTACTCAAAAATGAACTGTTTTTCAATAGAGAGTCAACAAAAATTATTAACAAAGTTCTACTCTACAATTTCCAAGAAACATTTTAAAAAAATAATCTGACTTTCATCACTAACGTAGTTTTTTTTTAACAAATCAGATATTTTTCATCCAAAATAAACTCTTTCAACTTTAAAAAACAACTCACATTGCTGAGGAAGAGCGCCTGTCGCAGGGGCTCAAGGAACGGCTTCGTTTCGCGCATTTCGAATTAATCTAAAAAGAGGAAAATGATAAAAAAATAATGATTTTTGTCAAAAATGCCAACCTGTTTATCTGGTCGTTGTTTTTCAAGAAAACCCACGAGGCATGTAAACAAACAACGTAAATAAAGGCTAAGGGTTCAAAAATTGTCAGTGGAGCGAATTTGCTCCCCGAGGCGCACAGAATTTTCGGACTCCTTCCTTTTGACTTGACGAAAAAGTTCCTATAGATTATAAGCATTTATCACATCAAAATGTACATTATGGCAGTATCTACAGCACCGAGGACGTATTATGAAACAGGATTATGAAGTAAATTTGATAATATCTGAATGAAAAGACGATCACAAGTGGAGGCAAGCAATAAAAGGAGGAAAAAAAAAATGCATAATTCTAATTTCTTGAAAGCTCATTAATAACACACGATTTGAACGAACGCCAGCTCCAAGGCTTTTCGAGCCGTCCCTGCAAAAATTATGTATTTCAACATTTTCTTCCAAAAAGTAATGGGTTTCGTGAATTGCACATAATTTTTTTGAAATTTTGCTTCTCTTTATAAATCTGCGAAAGCTTCGTCCTATCCTATTTTCAGCTTACGATCGAAACTTTCAATTCTCGTCAAAAAACATGTAAAATCGAATTTTCAAAAAGGAGTGCGTTGCCTTCGAAGAACAAGGATTGACTATAAAATTTCGCCTTCTCTTTTATGAGAAGATTGAATCGGCAAATTCACACTAACCCTCAAACCGCGATGCAGTCTGTCGGTCATCACAGCCAAGAATTCGGGATAGGAAAGAGTTCCGTCGTCGTTTTCATCGAAGATACGGAAAATCATTGAAACGACCACCGGGTCAAGTTCTTGTCCTTCAAATGGAACTAGTTGATAAATTTCTTGGACTAATAGGTTAATTATTTTTCGCTGTTTGAAGTTTCTACCTGGCGAAAACCTGATTCTCACTGGATTTATTTGATTCTAGCTGGATTTTAAAACTATTCTTTTCGATGTTCGTTTTTATCAATTACTTAGCCTGGTCTACTGAGAAAAGGATTTTTTCAATTTACAAGAAAAAGAGAAGTTTTAAAACTTTGAAAATATAGTTACAAGGAAAACAATGAACTCAGTTTCTTTCAAGAAAAACTTTCTTTTCCTTTTCATAATTTCGATACCCTTCTGAAAACCCACCGATTGTGCAAGAAACTGCTCGAGCAAACTCCGGCTCCGAAACAGGCATGTTGCTATTAACGTAGAGCCGAACGGCGCTCGAAAATTCGGACAAATTGTTGAGGAAACGACTGAAACGAGCCCACTGCTCTAGCGTCACTCCCTGAAAAATTGATAGCTGAAATTAGATTCAACTGCAGCAACGATGAATGGCCAAAAAAAACGAACCTTATCCTCCGCAGTTGTCCTCTCTTGTACACGATTGATATACTTGTAGTAGTCCTCTTGATTCACAATAGTGTACCTAGAAACTTGAGCTGAAGATTTTTTCTAAACTTCTCAAACCTCAAAACAAGCCGAGCAAAATCCACAGGAGAGATCGTATTCTTCCCTCGAGCGAACTCGAAAAACTCAATCTCCATGATCTCCTCTTGGAGGTTCTCGTAAAAACTATGAAAAGTATTTTAAAAGAGTTCAGATTTGTCCATCTTACACTTGAAACTGATTAAACGTCAGCTTCGAGTTTCCACGGATCCCAAAAAGGTGCAAAAGAAGAGTCGTATCCTGTTTTTTCACCTCTTCTTCAGATTTCTGAATTTGAATAGGGAATGATGAACTTGAAGCTTTAGACATTGAAACACTGAATGATTCAGGCATGCAAGATAACAAACAAGTAAGTCTTTCAAATAACTGTTGAAAGAAGAAGACGAATTTTTTGATGATTAATACAGAAAACAGAAGACGTAAGACAATATTAGGGAGATTTCTACTAGCAAAAGCTTACGACCAGATAACGAGAAGTGGAAAAACTGAAAGAAAAGAAGAAACAAACGGGAGCGAGACGGGTGCCAAAAATGGTCGCGATCCTTGAGGCAAACATTTTTGAAACCTGAAAAGAGGCTACGAGTTTTTTTATCTCTTGAAAAAAGTTTCTTTTTTCGAATTGAGTAATTTAAAAATTCTTTTAACATGAGGTGCAATAGAAAAATGAAAAGCGAAAGCAGAAATTGGAAAAAAAAGTGTTAGAGACATTCACATTCGACCACAAAAAGACGACAGAAAAGAACGGCCACATAAGTTGGGACTGTGGAAAACAGCTTTTCTGGAAAAACAACATAACTTTTTTGCTAATACTTCTAATAAATAAGGATTTTGAATCGAAATATTTCTCGAAAAGCTGTTTAGCACATAATCGGAAGAGGATATCGACGAATAGGAGCCCGTTTTCCACTCCAGAATCGTCGATTTCCACGCCGATTCGACACGTACACTCGGTCAGCTCACAGCGAACATGACGGAGTAAGCGTCAACGCCGGAGAAAAGACGGCCGGAGAAGCGAGAAACGACGAACTGATAGTCGGAAGGGTCGATCTGACACGACTGAAAGGGAACGAGGCGCATTCAGAAGAGGGGCACGTCACTCGAGGCTTACGTCGTCGTGGGCATTCGGTGGCGGCGTCGAATCCATTCTTCGCGTCGACCGCAACGCGGAAGTCAAGTTACGAATCTACAACATCTAGGGGAAAAAATGGCAAACCCGAAAAAAATCAACTAATCAGTAAAAGCTGTAAAAATTGCATGAGAATGGACAATATTCTCTTAGAGACTTCCAAAAGTCCTAAAGAAGTGCCTTTAGCTTCTCTTTTTTCTCCTTTTTCTCCCTTTTCCAAATAATTTTTTAAAAGATTTGCAATGAAAGACTGCAATGAGAGAATGTGAAAAGGCTTCATTCGAAATATTATGGAAATTGAGCTTTATAAGTATTTTAATGTACAAAGCCCTTCTATCAAAGCTGCTAGTAAAATGAACACTTAAAAATTCTGCTGAATTAAGAATAAATTAAGAAATGACACAACCAAAAAAAAATTTAGCGAACGTTTGCAAAAATTCAATCAATACCAATGGATCTGAAGCCATGCAGTTATAACAAATTTCTACGCCTCGAAACACCTCACATTATAAGCCGGCAGGTACGCAAAATGCGTGTAATATTTATCGAAATTGCACCTCTTGTAGTTTCTTTTCAATACTTTTCTTTAAACTAACCAGCAAAAACTCGTCCCGTTCAACACTTCCATTGTCGTCCTCGTCGAACATCAAAAACGCGATTTTAAATGCGGCTTTTGATTCTTTGAACATAAAAATTAAAAAGAAACGAAGGTTTGGAAAACTTGTAAGAAGTGTGAGAAGGAAAATGTACTCCGAGTAGGAAATAATCCCATTTTGGTCGAGATTCCTGAAAAAATGGTTGCCTCCGTGTCGAAATGGCGGCGTCTTCGAGAGGATGTTCTTCATGTCTTTTTCTTTGATCACTCGACGGTAGACTCTTTCTGGAATCGTTTTATTATTGGATAAACAGGTCAAAGTTTTCATACGACATCCAGAAAAAAGTGGTCTCACCAAAAAGAATTTGCGAGCGATTCGAAAAACAAGAAAACCGAATTAAACGGACTAATATGGACCAGTTGACCTTCAAGATCGTTGAAAGAAAAATATGCGAGAAAATTCCGACTCATAAAACAATTAAAAACAAAAAACCAACCTCTGGGAGCGTCAAGAGTCAAAGAATCGATGAAATCCATTGGACTCATATAAATGACGTCGTCATGTTCAATCGAAGCAAATTGTAAAAATCGAAGCTCTCGTTTTGTCAATTTATGATTGGTCTGCGCTTGGAGATGCTCTGTTTCCCCTTCACCTTAAACAAAACTTTGAATCGATATTTATCATTAAACTTTACCTAACAAAACAGATCTCACAGGTGTGACAACTTGATAGGCTGCTATTGTACAGCCAACGCCGGCCGCGACAGCAGCGACCGCCGTTTTTAGCCGGATTTGGCGGTTGAACTGCTTTTGGAACGAGCCTTGATGAGAAGAATAGCTCCGAGAGACGACCCCTTCTAACTGCCTTATTCTTCTCATCCTTCAAAATTGAGTTTTTATTAGATTCCTAAGATATTCTCGGATTTCGCAAGTAAGCTTGAGCGAACGGGAAAAATTGATTACCTACGCGTAGGTGTACGAAAAAAAAAATGAGCACACGAAAAACAATCGCTATTGGGTGGAACGCAGAGAGAACATGAAAAAATTTCAATACACACTTTATCACGACAGAAGTTGCGACCAAAAAAGAGAAAAAAGAGGAATCCATGTAAGACGCGACCGAAAGGAACTTTACGCTTGATCAAAAACTAGACTACAAGAAAGACCACGCCTTGTAGTTCCGCTTCCGTACGCATGAAAGTTTACAAATCATAAACGCCACCCCGTGAATGAAGCTGAGATTCACAATCAGCTTCAATTTCGCTTCAACTTCTCACACCTTTTTCATTCGTTTCCGAAAAAACACATGTAGACTTTAATTAAAATAATCTCTCTCACTTCTAAGCCGCAAACTCTATACCAAACTGTTTCCCACAGATGTAATTCTCGAAATGTACTTGAAAAAGGAATTTTAAAAAAATAACGAAAGAAATGAAAACTATTTTTTCACATACCTGTTTGGAGGAATGCGCTCTAACGTAATCGAAACGTCCCCTCTAGTGTTTTGAGCATTCCAACGGGATTTCAAAGTTCGACTGCACCAAGCACTTTTCCATTGTTTTTTCCCTCGTTTTTCTTCTTCTCCGCCGGATTCACTCACACTTTCGCTAATGAAAGATTTTTCCATAGCTCCGTCAAGCTCGCATTCAAAGTTTCTCTCGATTTTCTTAATTTCAGCTGTAGTTGTATTGTTCTTTCGGTTGTCTAAACATTTAAATGAGCACGTAAAATATGTTATGTGTTCTGTAATTTTTTTTTTCTAGCGCAATCAAACCTTGAAACTTGAATTTTACCGTCTTCTTTTTTTCCGGCCGCGTCAAATTCGAAGATGGCGAACGAGAAGGTCATTCCCCAAGAACAAAAAAAAACTATTCTAATTGAGAAATTTCCTTTCTTGTTGGAAATTTCCAAGCGCAACGTCCTTCACTCTTTTAACAAATGTAAATCCAGTCGTTCAATTTTGTTGACAATCGGTTTAGAGAATTGATAACGACATGTGAAAGTAACGCTGGCGGGCGACAGCTGACAATTTTTTTTCTGTTCTCTTTTTTCTTTTATTTCGCAACATTCTACTTCTCATTTTGTTTTGAAGAGGACATTCTTAGCCCACGTGTAACAAAAAAGGGCGGATGCACGTCCAAACTATGTTTTTTTATTATTTTTTTTTCAGTTCCTCTAATTTTTGGGTACTTTTCCAATTTTTAGCAGATTTTTTTTTCTCAAATTTATTGCAGCAAAACCGGTTTCATTTTTTGTTTTGTTAAAACTTTTTTCCAATAAACAACTTTATGGCGACTTGAACAGTGCAATTTTTCGCGAATTGATTAGCTTTTAATCTCAATGTCCTGGTCGAAAATTGCAGGAAAATGTTTTTTGCTGTAAAAACGCAATGTTTTCATAAAAGTTAGACCTGTGACTCAGAAAACATTGGGAATGTTGCAACAACTTTTTTTAAGTTTCTTGTTCCCTTTTTCTGTTGCTCTATTTACAAAAAGCTATTTTTTCAAGAATTCTAAAAGCTGCTTTCTGAGAGTGCTCAAAATAAAAAAAATTGAATAACTAGCTAATACAAATGGAATTTCTACCGCATAGAACCTCTCAAAAAAATAACTCACATAGGGTGTTTTTTTGCTCTTTTTCGCCAATTTTTTTCAAGTTGAAGATTTTTTTGTATCGCATATTTGGCTCATAATTTAAAGAAAAATTAAACATGATTTTTTTCCAAGTCTGTGGATGTGTGACGAACAATCGAAAAAAAGCTCCTGGACAAGGCGAATGGCGACAGGCCGCCGGGTTCACGGCTCATCATCGAGCAGGGAACTTTTTGCCTCCAAAGTCTGGTGGATCATCAAAAACGCCTTTCAGGTTCTTTTAATTTTGAATTGAAACTATTTCTCATTTTATAATGTTCGAATCGAAATTTTCATTTATTTTTTGTATCAAAATGTTTATTTTTTACAATACAGTACTAAATTGACGGAATAAATGTGAGGAAAATATAGAAAAGTTAAAAGTTGCGGGAAGCGTATCGTGTCATTTTTGGCTTTGATTTTGAGAATGGAGCGAAAAATGACTTGAAAAATTTTTTTGTTTCAAAAGAAAATTCTTGATCAAAATTTCAGTTGTTTGCATAAGATTTTTAATTTTCTGTGGTGATCCCTTTCATTTTGAAGAGAAAATAATATCATATCTGCAGGATGGCCATGTGCATGTGCCTCGTGACCGTGTTTTTCGCCACCTATTTCGGATTTATGCTGCCAGTTATGTGGGCCAAGACTATATGGTTAGTTCCTGACCATACCCTCGAAAATATTTCATTTTCAGGCCCCGACTCTACTGGTTCGTGGAAGGAAAGCTGTACCGCTGGCTGCAAAGTTTCATCGCCTATTGGGGCTACACGGCAGGATATGATGGTTTTTTTCTTTCTATCTTATCAATTCCCCATCCTAATATTGATGATCTAGCAGATAACTTGTTTTTATGAGATTAGGCGAGTTTTGAAACTCGTGGTACTTTTATCGACGTCATCGAAACGTTATCAGGGAAGAAAGAACGCGTTTTTTGATCTATTGTAGCACTTTTAATCAGTTGTGCCATTCTGGAACACTAGAGAGAACTTGATATTATGTATTGCAGATATATTTGACTTTTTGATTGGATAAGTCATAGCAAAGACTGGATTTCATTCGATTTGAATGATGGGAGAATAAGAGTTTATGAATTTTCAGTCATTTTTCGCTCTGAAAGGTTGAAGAGAAGCTGAATTTTTCAAACGAAACTTGATTGTATGAGGAATCTGAATTGATTCGTAGTCTTATTTAGTCTACGAATACGGAGATGACGTGAAGACGTACTACCGGGACGAGAGAGTCCTTCTGATGTGCAACCATCAATCGACGGCCGACGTTCCAACTCTCATGACGTGTCTTCAGAACAAGGGCGTCGCCAGTCGCAAGGTTTTTTGAATTCCATCAAAGAAATTATCACTGTTTCTTCAGTTTTAGAAAACAAAGTTTGGTATGAAGACACTATTATGCAGTAAAAACATAAAAGGTTTTTGGTGATAGATCAAATAATCTTTGAAAAGGAGAAAAAGCTCCACTCAGTAGATGCTGAACTTGGCGGAAGGAAAGCAGTAAGAACTTTTTGGAAAATACTTCCAAGTTATAATACCCGTAATGAAAAATCTATCTGCCTTTTTTAAATTGAAAAGCTCAAAATCTTCGAAACAAAACTGCTTTTTCAAACTTTTTCCAAACTGTTTAATTAACCGAAATTTAAAAATGCTCTATCATTTCATTTTTGATACTATATAGCAATCCGAGGATTTTTGATCTATTTCAGAAAAAGAACGTGAAAAAAATTTTTTTTAGTAGAGCACAAAAAAATGGAAGTGTGTGAGAAGAAGCTGTCTTGAAATTTCTAAGATTTTCCAGAGGAAATTTTATTTATAAAAAAAATGAAATTTTTTCCCATAAGGGATATTTTTCAGACCTTGTGGCTGATGGACGTGATGTTCCGCTGGACACCCTTCGGTATCATTGGAAACAATCACGGCGATTATTTCATCCGGCAAGGAAAAGCGACGCGTGAAAAGGAAATCGACAGGTTTTCGATTATGAATTTTCCAAGCTCTATCCATACATAGGAAAGTACAGAACTCAATCAACGGAAAAGTAGGGGTTAGCTTGCAAAAATTTAACCGGAATATCGTGGCTTTAAGTTAAGAAAATGGGAAAAGAGTTTCTTTTTTTTGAAAATCCCACATTACTATCTAAAATGTGTTCTCTTTTCCAGATTGAAACTTCATCTTCAGTCCGTCTTCTGGAACCGCGATCGTCGTTGGGTCATCCTCTTCCCAGAAGGCGGTTTCTACTACAAACGCGTCGAATCCAGTCAAGCGTGCGTTTTTTTTTTGCATGGTTTTATTTGTGTTAGAGACGATCATGAAGCGGTTTCACCGAGAAATTATATATTTTTGACCCCTTTCTGAAACTTCAATGTGTTCTAAGAAGTTTGAATACGCTCTTTTTTTCACAAATATATATTTTCAAAATAGATTTTTTCTTTAAATTTTAGCTATCAAACTTTCTCGCATTCCCAAATTGTATTGTTCGAAATTCGGTTCATCCAGTAGTACTTCTTCCAATTTTCGAATCGAGCAATTAATAGTTTGAGCAGAAACATTTTTCAGATACGGCAAGAAGAACAATTTCCCGCATTTGCTGTACACGACGCTGCCGAGACAAGGCGCCGTTCAAGCGATTCTGGAAGAGGTAAGCATTTTGTTCATCTCCTGAAGGGAAAAAAATGATAGGAAAATGTTTTTTCTGAGAGAGTAAACTCAAAACGAATCAAGTCTTGAGTTTGTCAATTTTTGCCGGCTAATTATTTATTGAAAGTTTCCAGGAGTCGCTACTCTGTCTTCTTTCCATATTTGCACCATCTTTCATTCTTTTTTGAATAAAAAAAACAATGCATCATCATTATTTTTCCCGCGACTCCCATCAGTATTTTGCCTTATGTCATGATTTCTGAAAAAATACATTTTTTGCCATTTTTACTAAATATTTTTGTCAGCTCGGTCCACGACGCGAAGTCGAAGAAGAAGACGACTCCAGAAAACGCAGCAACAGCAAATTGACGTTGCTCAAAGACACGGTCGACGCTCTTCGCGAGAAGAAATATGTCAAAGGTTTTTCTTTTTTCTTTCAAAACCAAAAAAAAATCAAGACGTTCATAATATCTTTGGCAAAGTTCAGTATGAATATTCAGTGGAGTGAATTCACCAAGGATCCTTTTTCATTAACGGTATAATTCTTGTGAATCAATTTCTTTTCCAAAAAGTCGAATTTTCCTTGCTACTCAATATTTCGACGTTAATTTAACAAATATTTATTAGAAACCAGCTAAGCAGCCACTCATAACAGTTAGAGATCAATCTAATTCGCATCTGAAGCCTACACATTACTTTCAAACCGTATTTCTCTCGACAATCGATAGCATGAATAAGGAATCTTTTGAGTATCCAAAAAGGTTTCTCCGTCCGCTAGAACTCAGTTGATGACGAGTTGTGTGGAGGCAGAAACGCCGAATTTTCCCTTGTACTCGTCGAAAAGCTCGCGGAGCCGAGTGACGTAGGTCGCGTGGAGCTCGTCGATCTGCTCCATCGTCGGATTTTCGCATTTTTCAACCCGAATCGGGGCTCCTAGCACGGTGTTGATGGGCTTTCTGCAATTTTCAAGCATTTTTGTTCGGTCTTTCAAGTTCGGACTAGGAGATGAGAGCCACCACTAGACCAGGGGACCTTCTGAAAATCACCTTCAATAAAATAAAACTTCAAAATGAGCTCTATTTCTTGATTGTTTCTTTCTCTGTTTCGTTTGCGTTTTTTCTGCATTTCTTTGAAAATTTTTCTCTTACAAGTCTCCTCTCACTGTAGTGCACTATGAGTTTAGAATCTTAAGAAATGATACTTCCAACCTGAACGGCAACATGCCGACGTTGTAGTTGAACACGCCTCTGCCATGGAAAGCCGGCGGCGAGAATCCCAAGACTTTTTTCATATACGTCTGGATCTTGCGAATGTTGGATCCTTTCGGGTTGTCGGCCTGAAAATATTTTGATTTGATCAAAATCGAAAAACCGTTGGTACCTGGTGGTAAATGTCGTTTTCGCCGAAAGAGTAGCATGGGACGAGCTGAGCGCCAGAGACCAAGGCTAGTCGGATGAAGCCTTTTCTTCTGTTTAGCGTCAGAATATGGTGGCCTGGATGAGCGTCCAAAGCTTCTTCTGCTCCTCCGACGACCAAAACGCAGGCGGCTCCCTGAAGAGTTATTGAAATTTGGGTTGGAAAAAAAATTTAGGTCACCCATATAAAAAAAGGGGCGAATGGTATCTATAACTTGAACTTTTTTTTTTCTTATTTCCAACCTTTTTCTCAGTGTTGATAATATTGAGAATGCTTTTCCGACTGCAGTCAATCATGCCGTGAAGAAGTCCCCATTCTCGTCGGAAAGGCGTCCAGAACTGGCCAACCTGAAAAATTTATTTGAGAAATAGCGTTTCTATAATTTATTCTAACCAGCGTACACAAGTGGAACCGAATCGAAGGGAACTTTTCCAAAATTCCCGTGCCGTTGGTGGCAAAGTTGATGAAAGCGGCCATAGAAATGATGCCATGAGGATGATATCCAATAAGATAGTTCTGAACTTTTTTCACTGTTCACTCCTCTCTTATAGTTCATCTCACCTGTTCTGGATCAAAATCAGCGGTTGTGTGAAGCTTGACCGGGAAATAGTCGGCGTACCATTTGTGAATTCTTTGGCGAAGCCACCATTCAGATCTGTAGGCGCCGTTTTGTGGCGAATTCCAGTCGTAGTACATCCATATCAAGTAAGCTACCATAAGGGGCCATACTATCGTAGTTAACTGAAAAAAAAAGAACTTGAAAATAGATTCTTGGAAGTTTTACTGCTCAAAAATCTCTATTTTTATCACGATTCGTTATCTCAAATTTTTTGCTGAGTGCGGCAATAAAAACGTTTCTGGTTGAGATGCAGGAGCTGACATAAACATAACTAATTTTTGTTCAAAGATCGGAGAATAAACGCGTAAATTTCAAAAAATAGAATCATTTAAAATAAGTCTTGAAAACTGTCTCACCAAATAAAAAGGTAGAATCAAAGAAACGGCCGGCGTCAGAAGCGAAAAGAAAAAGAAATGCAGTGCCCCAACTGTTTGAAGACGTCGTTCCAGTGGGATGTTGAGCGGGGCGAACTCGATTCCCATCATCGACGGCATCTGAAAAGACGAAGAAGATCGTTTCTGCGTTAGATTTGAGAAAATGGGCAGGTGTACCCGCAAATTTCGGTTTTTTCATCGAGATTTTTGGCGCTTGCGTGTAATATTTCACTTATCTTGCGAAGGCCGTCAAATTGAAAGTGCTAAAAGGTTTTTTTGAGATGAGGGCAGTGATTGCGGGAAGGAAAGCAGGTGGAAAAACGAAACCTTTCCATCGGAATTGGGTTACGTGCCTATAAACTCATGGTTGATTGAACTGTGAAGATGGAGATCCATCTTGGATTGATTCTGATTTTATTATTTGTTGCTTAGAGTCCTCTCAATCATACAATTTTATCGGAAGAAAGTAACAGGTATAAACGTTCAATTTTAAAGAAACCTCAAACCGTGCTTGAAAAACTGTTTGAAAAGAAAATATAGTACTATTAAAAAAAAATAAAACTTGAATTTGATAGAAATTTTATTTTTTTGGTCAACAAAATTCAAATGATTTCCAAAAGTCCCTGGCAAAAAAAACAGGAACGATGAGAGAGATTTTTGAGGCAGAAAAAAAACGGAACAAACTCTAACTTTTTTTTCTCTCTTTTCGTTCTCACCGGTCGCCACTCTCGTTGTAATCATGCCATTTTGTTTGTCTCCATGGGCGCTCTTTTAAAATAAATCGCCAGAGAGCATTGGAGTTCTAATTGGGAGATTTGGAAACAAAAAACTTTAAAAATAAAAATTTTTTTGCAAGATCTACATCCTTTCCCATCTAAACTTTACTAGTTCAAAAAAATGAAAAAAATATCTCTCCAAATAAAAAAACTCAAAAAGGATAAAGTACTGATTATTCGCATTTTTTTTCGAAAAGAAGTCTAGTTTTCTAAACTCATTCGATAGGAGAAGTTTTGACTTCTTAAGAGAAAAAAAAATTATTGAGTGAATGTTGCAAGCGAACGTTGACAAAATTTTAAATTCGCCCGCACCAGAACGCTAATTTATCTGTGAAAAACTGCTGATTCGTTCGAAAATTACGATTGGTTCGGCTGTTATCACCTCCTGGAGGCGAGATATGGTAACACGTTTCGCTTGGCGCACGACCTCGTCTTGGTTATCTCGAGAAAAATAACTTTTTGATTCGATGATTCCGCTGATATTTTCGTGATATTTTACGCGGAGTTCAAGAGATAAGTGGGAAGCTCAAGATGAATGAATTCTTCTTTGCGTGAGGATGGAAGGAGCCTACTAAATATGAATGGAAGAATGAACTTCTCAAACGCGGAAAATGAATTGAGACGAGGTGAAAGAACGAGTTTTCATTTCGATTAAAAACTGAACCACCTTGTTTTTGTTCTTTGTACTAACGGGAAAAGCTTGTTTTCGCCTTGAGTTTTTCTTTGGATTGCGTCGATTCATGACCAAAGAACGGCGAAATTGAGAGTTGATGAATCACGGGATATTCAAAAATAGAAGAATCTCGCGTTTAACTTTTTCCTACGAAGAATTGCAAAAGCGGAATAGCTTCCACTGGAAAATTCAACAGACAAATTTACGTTCTCCCATGAAAAAAAAATGTGATGTACTTCAAAGAAAATAATTACAGATACTCGTCCACCCATAAAGTACGTTTTGGACGTCACAATCGCCTATCCAAATGGAATCCCGCTGAGTTTGGCGACTTTTGGCCTAGGAACGCGCGAGAAATGCGATATCGCTGTTCATTACAAGATCTACGACGCTGATGAGGTAGAAATATCTTTAGGAAGGGATATTTTGATATTCTCAAAATGCACGGCGAAGTTTGAAAAAAAAAGTGTGCAAAAGACTTATTTTGTTTTTCACATCAAATAACTCAGTTTGAAGATTTTCCCGATGTTTCAGTTGCAATACTTTTTCTCTAAAAACGGAGAGGAAAGTATGAAAGTCCGAATAACGAATTAATGATTTGAAAAAAAGAACTTCTTTCCGTCAGATTCATCGATTTTCTAGTTCCTGATGTTTGAAATTGACAATCTGCGTTTTTATGATCTAAGGAAATTTTTTTTTTTTTTTAGAGAAGAGACGTTTTCTATTTGATTTGTTCAGATTTGGCGAAATTGTTCGTTATTCGTAGTTCAATTTAAAAAAATGTTGTAAATGTTCAATAACTCGGAAAAACTCAAATGAAAGACTCACACGTTGGACTTCTTCAGGTGCCATTCGAAGATGAGGAGAAACTCCGCGACTGGATGTACAAGGTCTACAAAGAGAAAGATGATATGCTGGGTAAGTGAGTGGGTCGCCAGATGGGACCAAAACGAAAAGAAAAGCGTTATCAGTGAATGGGGAGAAGTGTTGCAAGAAATGTCCACCCCGAAGGTTGAGCCGAGGGATAATTTCTCAAGTTCTTCGTTCTTTAACCGCTGTTTCTTTCAGACCAATCGCAGAAGTTCCCCTGATTTTTGTTCAGCGGGATGATAAAAATACAGACATTTTCGCGTAAACAGTTACGAAGCTTTTTTGAAATCAAGAATCAAGTACTTCGATGATAAGTTTGATAAGAATATAGTCTGTTCAAAAATCATTTCCAAGTTTTTAGCAAATCCGTCTAGATTTTGAAAATTGTGTTTAAGGGAGTTTAGAAATGTGAGCTTTATCACAATTTTTGATAAATAGGTAATAATGAAAAAAACAGCGATTTTTTTACATTTTGTTCTAAGGCGTCGAGAAGAGACAAAAATGTGTTCTGTCACGAAAATTTTTGAATTTAGGATGAATTTAATTAAAAATCAGGCTAAAATACTTGAAATTTTTTGAACAACGCATAAAAATCAATTGAACGAACTTCATGCATTTTAAAAATAGAATAAAATAAACGCGAAAGTTCAAAAGAGCCTAAACTTTTTGAGAAATTTAAGTTAATCACTAAATCGTCAAACAGCTTCTTTATTTTTGATCTTATTTGTTGTCATTTTGGCGCGATTTAGAAACAGTTCCCTTGGCCTTCAGAGAAAATGTGTTCGAAGACTATAGTTCAAACTTTTAAGTGAGAACGAAAAAAAAAGTTCACTAGAACAACTTTTTTGGAAAAAGAAGTGACTGAAAGTCGTTTCCATGAAATGGTAATATAAACGGTTGTGTGAGTGAGATAAGAACCGGTGATAATGAAAAAAAGAGTGCGTTGAAGGCAGCGACCCTTGCCCTTCGGACCTTTCCCATAAATGTTCGTCCTCCAGCGCATCCAAGATCAACTCTTTTTTTTGTATTTGATCTTTCTTCAGTTTTTGGGCTGGTGGGATAGTTTCAAAAGGTCTGTTGACACTTATGAATTGTCTTTCTTTTAAATTTTCCGGAAAAAATTGAAAAATTTCGCCCCACTTACCCATTAAGAGATAAAATTGCATCATCACACGATTTTGTGCTTTGTTTATTAATAGTACCAAACTCCATTCATCGCTAAATTGATCTATCAAAAAAAATTGTGATTTGTCTTCAGAAAATAAGAAAGTTCCCCCGAAAGCTTCAAATGAAGTTTCTACAAAGTTTAACTTTTTAAGTTTTTCGAGTAAATCTACATTTAGAGCATATATGGGAGCACCTGAGTAAATAGAAAGAGAAGAACTCGAATTTTAATGGAAAAAAATCAAGTAAAAATAACTGAAACAATATAATTTTTTTGAAAAAAAGTTGTTTTAAATTTGTTCCACATTTTCAGCAAGATACTACGAGACTGGTGAGTTCAACGCCGGTGAACGTGGAACAAGGATATCCTTCTCGTGGGCCAAAATCATCGGAATGTACGCCTTCTGGTTCGCTTCGTTCTACTTCCAGTACCGCGTCTATTCGTGGCTCATCAAACAAGTCTTCTACCTGGCCTTTGTCCCAAATGTTTGATGTAAAAGTCTTCATGAAGTTTGTGGGCTCTTTTTGATAAAATCTGTGAATCCCTAGCATATAGCCTTGTAGTTTTTGACAAAGATTGTTCTTCTTTTAATTTTTGACATTTCTTGTCGAAATCTGTAGGTTTGGATCTTTGTGTTTCCCGATGTTGGGCCTGCATAATTTTTTTTTCTTTGTATCAAGTGTAGGAATGAAACTACATTCATAATTTTCTTTTTCTATACTTGGTTCCCCCGAAGTTCATGTTGTTCAATTCATCTTTATTTAGATCTCTTCCCGATTTAACCGCATGTTTTTTATATTTTCGTCGGAAGCTTTAAGAAATCGGTGTAGCTTTTCTTTTTTTTTCCATCTGATTTCTTTCAAAAGAACCTTTTTCTGATGCTTTTCTATGTTCCTACGGTTTTTTTTTTCGATTTTAATTCTGTCCAAACTCACCTAATATTTGAATGGGAGATTCAGGTACGGTACAGTAATGTAACCAAAAAGCTTTCGACTATATATTCTCTGTTTTATTGTTTTTTAATGCTTGATTAATCTTTCAGAATACATTTTTCTCTTTTAACAGTCGTATAACATTGCTTGAGATGTATTCGAACCAACATACACAAATAGGTGATGCAAGGCCTCAGGGGGTGGAAGAAAGCTAACCGTAATTGGATTTTGTAAGGATAGAAGGAAATCCCACTCTCTAGATTGTACTACAGGGAAAACGTCTATATTCAGCTGATGAATGTTGATTGGACGGTTAGAGGCATAAGAATTGGCCCTGCGATGATTTCGGCGTAGTTCCAGCGCAACAGTTTGACCTTGGGTACATGCAAACGGACCGATTGCAGGGCTCTTTCTCAAAGGCCGTTCTGAAAGTTATGAAGTGAACGAGACAGAAAAATAATTTTTGTTACAAGATTCCAAGGAATCTAACATTCTGGTTACTTATCAGCTCTAATCTGAAGTTCGCTAGTCTCAAACCCTAACAAACTAACCCACTACACAGACAGCTGGGATTCGGCTTGTTGCAGGCGCGGAAACGCTGCCACGTTCCGCAGGCTCCGCAAGTGTCCGTGCAGGTCGACCATTCCTGCCACGGCTGCCACGTCGCCGCCGCACAAGGATCGCCCGCCTTCAAACTTTTCTATCTTTTTGAATTTTGAACGTTTTTTAAAAATCTCACGGAAAAAATTGGTCATACTAGAGCGATTTTTTCCTTTTCCGCAGAGTACGGTATCATAAAGTCCGGGCTTTGAGGTGTGGGGGACAAGATGAAGTTCCAAATGAAAGAAGCTGTTGAAAAAACTCAAAAGTGGTAGACTGGGACCTGGGATCACTTAGAAAGTTCATACACACGAAGTGCAAATTTCAAATACAGTACTGTTTGGAGATCGAAAAATAGCTCTCGTCGTAATTTAACTGAGTTTTTTTTCAAACTGCTGCTTTTCAACTCACAACTGCTGTGGTCGTCGGTGGCGTGGTGACTGGAGTAGTTGTAGGCGTAGGTGTAGTTGTCGCTGAAAACGTTGAATAAGACAGGGAAACAACACGGAAGGTCAACCAGCGACGCCGCAACTGACGCCAGTGACGACCGTCGAAGTCGCCGTCTGCCACTGAGCACTCGAACTGCAGGTCAAGGTCGTGTTGGCGACGCCGGTCGCTGTGGCGAGCTGGTTTCCGTTGGAGTCGAGCAGGACGGCGGTTCCGGTCATCTGTACCAGAAGACGTGAATGATTCCGTCTTTGAGACTCACAGTAGGCGAGAAGCAAGATAAAGTGGCAACGAGGCAGCCGTTGACGGTCTCCGTGTCGAGAGTGAGGAAGGCTGTGGCGAAGGCCGGCGAGGAGATCGAAGCTCCGAGTTGACGGCTGCACGCCATGCATGCCACTAAACATTTTTTTTTCCTTTTTGCCATTTTTGGTATTCACTTGAAGCTCAGAGAAACAATTTTCCAAAGAAAAAATTTTTTGGAAAAGCGAAAAAAAAAGGAGATCTCACAAGTTCCCGGATCCGTCGTTTCTGGCGGTGGAGTGACCGTCGTGAGGGCGGGAGGCGGAGTTAGAGTTGGAGAGGTGTCGACTGAAAAAGAATTTCCAAACTGGACTTGATCAATCGACAAACAAGAAATCTTGCAAGCGATGCCAGTCACAGGCACGCCCGCCCGGAGCCATTGCCCGCCGGCGGAGCAAGTCAGGCCAATGGAGACCTGTCCGGGGACGGTCAACGTCGTCGTGTCGGCATTGTTGTTGTAGATAATCGTCGCGTCTTGAGCTTCCTGACGTCTTTCAGTTCATTCCGAAGCTGTTCACTTCACTAACGTTCTGTCCGGCACATCGCATGACGACCGTCCTACAGCCAGTTCCTCTGTCGTAATAATGAGTGATAGTCAGATCGCCGTTCATTTCATTTGCAGCAAGTTTGGCCTGGTCTAGCAGGATCGGAAGCATATTGGAGCATGCCGTGCAAAGACCTTCAAAATAGTCTTTTTCTCCTCACGAAGATAAAAAGGCAAACCAGAAGTGCCACAGCTGACACCAGTTACCACAGTTCCAGACGGCGTCAACCACTGAGAATTCTCGGTGCAGGTCAACGTCAAATTGGCCAAATTCGTGCCCTGGGCAAGTACGGCTCCGCTGGGATCGGCAAGAACGCCTGTTCCTGTCGTCTGAACAGGAGATTTTCTGATTATAAAGATATTTTTTGGTTATAGACTGTTGGAGCAGCACAAGAGAGGCTTGTGGATAGGCAATCGTTGATGATTCTCGTGTCCATCGTCAGGAATCCGCTGTTGTAGATCGAGGAGACGGGAGTCACGATTTGGCGCTTGCAGTTTGCGCATGCCACTGAAATTTCTTTTTTAAAGATCAAACTTAAAATTACAGTGGCGACATACAAGGTTAACGAATACTGATTTTTCTTTTTCTCGTGAAGAATTCTAACTCGATAACTTTTTGCCAAATTTTTAAAATATTCATTTCAAATCTTTGAAATTGAAAATGAATAAGAAATGTTTTTCCGATCAGTTGCGCTTTGAAAGCTATTTTACTCAGTTCTCATGTAAAAATGAAACGATTTTTTTTCTAAAAAATTTTCTCAATGTGACTGGAGGATAATTTTTTACTTTTGAACTCACAGCTTCCAACTGGAGTAGTCATCGCTGGAGCGAGCGTAGTGGTGATCGGAGGAGGGGCAACTGTGGGAGATGTAGAAGCTGAGCTCGAACTTAACATCCTACTTTCTCAACGCATAAGTACCATCAATTCGGCAAGCGATTCTAGTGACAGAAGTTTCAGACAACAACCAAGTCCCGCTCGCCGTACACGTCAGAGATGAGAAGATCTGCCCCGCGGCACTTTCTGAGTTGGCATCCTGCCCGTTGAACATGATCGTCGCGTTTTCTCCGGTCTGAATCGGCTGAAGTTCTGGAGGAAACTGAAGGAAGGAACGTTTCTCGCGCTGCATTGAATGTCGACAACGCGGCAGCCGCTCTGCTGATTGATATAATGGTCGAGGATGAGCTCGCCGTCGAGTTGGTTCGGAGCCAGTTGGCTGCTGGTCAAGGACAGAGGAAGGACGTTCGAGCAGTCGGCGCATTTTCCTGAGAGTCAAAAACTTGGTGAGATATGTTTTGTAAATACTTTGGCAAATACAGTACCCAATTAGTTGAGAAGCAGGATTCAAAAAAGGAGGGGATTGGGAGGGTAATAGCGTCCTTCAAATAATGTCTTTCTATGTATGGTTCTTTTCAAAATCGCTTTTTTTTTTCGAGTAAGCCTTGTCTTCCAGTTTTAGAAATCAACTAACTGAAACTGATTCGAAACTATTTCACAAAAGCTGAAGATTCGAGAGTTGGCTCTCACAAGCCATATAATCATTGAATAAGCTACAGGAATAAATTGGAAAAATTTCGCAGAAAATTTTTTTCATATTTCAAACCTGGAGCTCCACAACTGACGCCAGTCACCACGGATCCTGTAGGCGTGATCCATTGGCCGTTAGAATCGCAGGTCAATGTACTATTCAACTTTCCGGTTCCAGAGGCCATTTCATTTCCATTCGAATCCACAAGAACGGCCTCCCCAGTAGTCTGAAAAAAAGCTACGTCGACTTTGAATGAATACTGAACAAGAAATCTTTCTGCAAACTTTTAATGAAAAAGGCTTTAAAATCTTGCAAGCCTTATAAAACCATAAAACCGGTTATCCACCACGATAATTTTTTTAAAAGTCCACGCACCTTTAATCACCATTTTTGGATAGACTAATAATATCTTGAGCTTTTTTTTTAAAAACCAGTCGAAACTCACATCAGGAGCCGAGCAGGACAGACTCGCTTGCATGCAGTTGTTCACGATTTTCGTGTCCAGAATCAAGAATCCGCTGTTGTAGAAGAACGGAACAGACTGTGCGAGGTTCCTGTTGCAAGTCAGACATGCTGCTGCAAAGTACAACTTCATCTACAAAGAAGTTTTCGAGGATACAAACGAGTTCCAAGCGCCGTCGTGGTGGGCGGAGGGACTGTCGTGGTGATCGGCACGGCTGGGGTCACAGTAGGAGACGTCGACGCTGAAGCATTGAAGAGGTTGAAGAAGAGAAGGGGCAAGTAGAAGACAAACATGCCGCCGTGCAGGCGATGCCTGTCGTGGGCGAGCCGTCGAAGATCCACTGGCCGGACGTCGAGCAGGTTAAGGACGACGACACTTGACCTGCGGCGCTGATGACGCGCGTCGCGTCATTGAACTCTATCGTCGCCGTCTCGCCGGTCTGGAATGGCCGCTCTCTTTAATAACATGAAAAAGGGGAGATTCATTTGAACGCGCTTCTAAAACATCACTCTTTATAATTTATTAATTTTTGAAGTAATCAACGGTGTGAAGATTTTCTTTTCTTCTCTTCAAAAAGCTCACATTCTGTCCACTGCACGTGATATCAACTTTCCGACAGGTGCTGGAAGGATCGAAGTAATGATCTAGAACCAGGTAGCCTTGGGCCTCATTCGCGGCCAGGTCTGTCGGTGTTATTGGCAACAAGTTGGTGCAACTCGAACAGAGGTCTCAAAAATTCAGAAGTTGTAAGTTTTCGATTCGGGGTGCTACTTGGTCCTGTCGAAGTGGATGAAGCCAAGGTAGTGGTCGAAGTGGTCGGAGTAGTTGTAGCCAAAGTTGTGGTGGAAGTTGAAGTAGCTACGGTGGTCGTGGTAGCTGCTGGAATCCATCAACACCTATTTTCTTAAAGACGCAAATCTCCTAAAGTTTCGTGATAACTCAGCTTGAAATTTAACCATCAAAAAATACTGTAAAAAAACTAACCCGGTTGAAAAATTTTCCTTCCTTTTAGTTCATACCTTTTTGACTCCTTTTTTAAACCTGCTCAACGATTTTCGAAAACAGACTCAGACTCAACGGAAAAATAAGTACACCAACTCATTCAGAAGTCTTACTGTAAGTCCAGACCATGTTATAGTTATTCACTTCCAGATTTTGAACTATTATAGCCTTTTAAAAAGACATTCCAAGTAAAAACTTGTGTTTTTACTGAATTTCTCACGTATTGAACTCAATTCACTAAATTTTCCTAAGTAAAATGCAAGACTGACGATTCTTGCGTGCGCAGGACATAGAAGGGAAAGCAAGTCCGTTGGAATCCTGCCAGGTGCTGGCCGCAGTACACGCCAAAGTCATGTTGATCTGGAAGGCGTTGGTGGCTCTCTCCGTTCCGGAAACCAACACGTGGACGACATCGGTCGGCTGAACATTTCCTCCCGTTTTTCTGTCAAATCAAGGGATTCGAACTGAGATTCCTTGACAGACGACGGCGGTAGTGCGACAGCCGCCGACGTTGGTGCTCATCAAAGTGGTGAAGCCGTTGAGATACTCTCCGGTGTCTGGCACCGAAGTTACCTTCACCGGACTACACTGTGCACATGGCGCCGCGTCGGCTGCAAGTACATTCTTATCCTTTTTACTCGTATTCATGATACACGGTTTATTACACAAAAAATTATCTAGCCCTAAAAAAAGAAAAATTAATAAATAAAGAAAACACAAAACAAATTTGAGTCTCACAAAAAATTGATATTTCTAATGAACCTTTTCCTAAATTTTAACTCAATTACTCTTCCAAGTCAGCCAATAATTTATTTATTGATATTCCTCATAATCTCATTCTGTTCTTTCTTCGATGAAGACCGCTTTTCTGCAGCATTTTTTTGTATTTTTATCCAAACTTACACAGGACAGTAGGATTTGTGACGGCCTGTCTCTTCTTCCGCGCGAGCGTATCTGAATAAATTTCAACTTACTAGTTTTAAGTTACTAGTTTTTTAGTTTTAAAAAAAGATAAAGACATGGAATTTATCAAAAAGGAAAAAAAAACAAAACTCAATTTTATTGTCAACATTTTTCAGTGGTCAAAAGGTAGCGAAAATTTTCGATCGTTTTTAGATACTTTTCTAGCCCAAAATGTAGATTTTTCCAGTAATTCTTCATTCCTTTCAATACCTGAATTGGTAACAACGCAGCTGACTTCTTGGAACGCTTCCAAGTTGTAAACCCATTCTGCATCCGCATTGCAATCCAAGGATATTGTTTGAGAGGAGGCGCCAGTTCTAACGACGTTCTCTCCGAAAAGCAGCGTCGCATTTTCATTTTCCTAAGAAGGAAGTTGAGAAATCCTTTGAAATTCCAATTCTTACTCTCATCGCCGCGCAGGTGACCGTCACAGTGAGGCAACCTTCGACGTCGTAGAAGTTGTCGAGGACGATCATTCCGTCGTAGGCGTCGTCGCGGAGGAGGGCCTTCGGCCTTAGAAGCTCGCATTGGCTACACATGGCTGAAAAGTTTACGGACGAGCTGAAGGAACTTTTTATGAGTGGTCTTACGAATTGGCGTCGTTGTTGTCATCGCAGTGGTAGTGGCTGAAAAATGATAATATTTTTTTTTGAAAAAAGATTAGAAGCTCAAAACTTTCCAAAATATTTAAAGACCACATGCGTTCACCCAAATGGATAGACGTAAACGATTCTAAGCAACTCTAATTTTAACAGATTTCTGATTTTGAAAACTGAAGGTGTTTGAGAAGATTAAAAAGAGAACCATTACGAAATAGATTCTCATTTACGCTGCGTAAATGCTCATGTATACGGCTTCATAATAAATAGCTTTTCAAGTATAATCTTTCTACAAAATGAAAATGAAGTGTTTTCAAAAAAGTTTTTCTGTAGATACTGACCCAACTGTCTCCCACAAGACAACGTCGTCACTGCAACATTGGTCGACGTCACCCAGGAGGTGGCCGAAGAGCAAGAAAGACCCAGACTGACCTTTCCAGGGCCGGAAACCAACGAAACTCCTTCAGAAGTCAGAAGGGCAACTGGCTCCGTGGACTGAATTCCAGTAGAATTATTTTTTGATTATGATGATACCGTGATTCCTTGGCACAAGACATTCTGAGTGCGGCATCCGAACGCGTCGAAGTCGTTGGTCAGCGTCACGAAGCCATCCTGATAGGAAGAAGACGACCCGACCGAAGAAATCGTACTCGTTGGACAAACGGAGCAGGAAGCTATGAAGATTTATTGGTCCTTCAGATTCAAGATGGGACAAGGCACCTGCTCCAATATCCTTGATCGTAGAAGGAGCCACAGTAGTTGCAGGAGGCGTCGAAGTGACGACTCCAGGGGAAACGTTGGGATCTACGAATCTCTATTGAAAGGTAATTCAGCCCAAAACTCAACCTGTGACGATGCAGCTCACCGATGGAACCACTTCTCCATCGTAAATCCATTCACCGGAGACGTCACAAATGGCTTCAACTGATTGTCGAGACGCTCCCGTAGATATCACAGAGTTTTCAAACAACAGAGTCGCGTTTTGAGATCCCTTCAAACGTGTCGGTGAGCTTATTTATCGTTTTCGAAGAATCTCATTGATTGTAGAAGAACAACTAAAAACTTATTCAAATCTAATGTTGGTCTAATGAGATTTGGTGAGTCGAAAAAAATATGAAATGAGCTCTTTTTTTTATTTTGTAATTGAACTAGAAGTTACAAAAGTTCATTTTCTTAAAGAAAAACTTCCAATTAACTGAATATCTCCGAATCAAATTTTTAGAAAACAAAAGATAATTAAAAAAAACTTCAAAGACAGCATGAAATATATTTTTAAATTCAAAATGGAAAAAGCAATTTATTTTTTCACATAACTAAAGTTACCTCCATAACTATAACTCAACTCATAACGAAATTTGCCTAACCCCATCAAGCTTGCATTTTTCCACTCTCTACAAATGTCTACAAGAAAAATCCTTATGACTAGAAATCTCTTTGAACCTTCGTGGCTGAGCAGGATATGCCGACGTGAGAACAGCCAACGACTTCGAAATGGTCCAGGACAATCATTCCATCGTATCCTTCGGACGGAGTCTTCGCCACCGGCTCCAGGTTCGGACAGCTCGTTGAGCAAGTGGCCGCTATAATTTCGAAGATCTCTATCTTCATCAAAGCTAGAATCACCAGGAGTGGTTGACGTCGTCGAAGGTGGTTTGGTTGGCGTCGTCGTAGGAGGTGTTGTTGCAGGAATTGTTACTGAAAATTGATAAAATATCGAGTGAAAAAGAGGGGGGAAAACGATTTACAGAAGCCGGTTTTCTGAAAGATATTTTCTTCAAGTTATGGCTCTCTTTTTTTCGTTTTTACAGTGAAAAATTCCATAGAATCACTCGTAGAAAAATCTTTCCGAAAAATCATTAGGAAGTGCTTCAAAGAACTGAACTTTTGAAGAACTGATTTCAATAGAGAGCTGACTAACCGGTTGTTGTGCGCGTCGTTGTTGTGAGAAGAGTCGTTGTAATAGGGATAACTTCTGAATATCCAGAGCTCTAGCAAAAACTAAACCGTAACGAACCAATTTGTCGAGAGCATGAAACAGACGGTACGACTAACGGTCCGGGACCATAAATCCAGGAAGAAGTCATGCTGCAAGAGAGATTGACGCTGGCCGAGCCCGTCGCCGAAGTGACAAGGTAGTTGTTTCCGCTTTTCAGGGCCACCGGCTCGTTTGGCTTGAGAAAAAAAAGGGAAATCAGTACACGGGAAGTTATGGCAGTACTAGAAATCGACAAAACTTCGTACAGAGGCACTTTCGCATGTGCCTTTCATCAAAAAAGCGCGGATTTTCAGAAGTTTTGAAAAGTCAAATTAGTCAAAAACAACCATTTTCTTCACTGCAATAGCAGATTTAAAGTTTGAGATGTTATAGCTCGAATTAACGCGAAAATCGCATTTTTTGCATAAATTTTGCATCAGAATGTCAAACCCTGTACAAAGTTTCATTAAATTACAACATCAGCACCTTTTGGACTCCCCCTATATTACAAGTCTTTTTTTAGTATGAAGTTTAATCAAGTTATTAGAAGAACCAACAGAGCTTCCTTCGCACAGGACATTCAGGTAGCTGCAGGATCCGTCTGTGAAGAAATCTACAGTAACGTGGCCGTTGGCGTATCCATTTTCGGTGGGCTCGGGTTGGATCTCCAGACGAGAGCATTGCATACAGGGAGCTGTGGATCGAACCATTTTGAAATGATTCCCTCAACAAATCTCACGAATTTGATGATTATAAGGAGTCGTTGTGGTTGGAACTAGCGTGGTGGTGACGACCGGAGGCATCGTGCTTCCAGGACTCGACGCTGAAATGAGCTTCTTTCAGGTCTTTTTCCTCGAAGGGATACATTTTCGAGACAGCTCCAAATAGTCTCTTGAATTGAATTTCAAACACTTGAGATCATAAAATTATTTTTGTGACTTGCTTTTTGATGAAAAGGCCAGGAAAAACGGAAATTTACCCCTATTCGAAAATCAATAAAAGAAAATATTAGCGAGTTTACATTACTGTTCATTGAACTTCGTTGAATATCAGAAAACCAACAAAAAGTTGAAAGCCTCACCTATGTTTTGGCGCTTTTTTTTGATTTTCACTCACTTGAAACCAGACATCCGACCCTAGTGAAGGTGGAGCCTTGGTATTTCCACAAATTGTCGATGTCACACTTCAGAGTCAAGGCTTGCGAGCTCTGGCTAGTCAGAACCGGACCAATCGGATCGAAGATAAGAGTTGAGTTTTCTGTGGTCTGAACTTTCTTTTGAGATCTCTATCTGCATTTATTTTTCTGACCGATGTGCCCTGACAGGAAATATCGACAACTTTGCACTTGGTCACTGGGTCTATGTAGTTGTAAATAACGAGGAAACCATCGTAAGGCGATGATTTTGTTGGATCGGCCAGAGCCCAAGTATTCAGAGTTGGGCAAGTATTTCCACAGTCTGTGAAACCGGTTGATTGGGATTTCGCTCAGAAATTTATTGAAATTTATGTATGAGGTTCTTGAAAGCTTCCTAAGAGAATCAGTAAAAATCGAAAATGTCTTGAAAAAAAAGGAAACAAACTCCGTGGTACTGTAGTCGTTGTAGGCTGTTGCTCAACAGCTAAATTTTATTTTATTTCGAGTTTAATATTTTTTCTCACTTCTACGACCACAGGAGATGGCATCCACGATATCGTCATCCTCGGAGACCCATTCTGTCGTAGAGGAACAAATGAAGATCATCGAAATCTCCTCGACCGACGAAATCAATTCTTTGCCTCCACTGAAGATCGCAACGTCGTCGGTTTCCTTTAAGAACACCCAATATTTCATACAGTTTCTATCTTTTTGTCTACCGATGAGCCTTGACAAGTGATCACTAGAGTGGTGCAATCGTCAACGGAGAGAACCGCCGTCGTCAGGCCATTCGCATAGGAAGATGACGTCACAGAAGTCACCGGCATTCTGGTGCATTTCGTGCAGCCTTCTGAATCCTATTTCCTCTCTTTCACTTTTAATTAGATGAACCAGGATTGACTACTGTTGTCGTTTTCCGGGTTGTGACTGTAGTTGTCGGAATGGGTGCTGAAGTGGGTGCAGGAGTCGGACCAACGGTTTCTAATATAAATAATTGACTTTGAATGAAATTTTTAAAAACGGAAATTTTATAAGTCAGCTTTTCAATTTTAGCACAACTACGCGAGATGATTCTAGGAAAGTAATAAGAGAAAAAAGTATGAAAATAGGGAAAGTGAAAACAGATGAGAAAACAAATCAGAGAAAACAGAAGGCGTAATGAAGATAATAAGGACAAGCTATGGTCAGTGGTCAGAGGAAAGTTTTTTTTGATGGACTTACTATAGTCAGTCCATTTTTCGTCTTTTCTTGATGGGAGAATTGGTTTGAATTATTCGAATAAGTTATTGTATGTGCGATGAAAACTTAGTTTTTTATGAGACTAATGGTTCGAACCTATTTGAAAAAGATTCTTTATTTTTTTAGGAAACATGATCTACGGCACGAAGCAGTCTTTTTGCGTCAAGTCAAGAAAATACGCTTTCGAAGTTACATCGAGTCAACTATCTTCTCAAATTTAGCACCCTTACTTGATATCACGCAAGTTGCAGAAGTTATAACGACGCCGTTGTATTTCCAATTTCCATCGGATTGACACGTCAGAGTGATTGTTTGCTTCGAAGATCCGGTCATGACGACTCCGATGGGAGAGAACGAAAGAGCGGCGTTGTCCGTTGGCTAAAGCGACTTCAGAAGTGTCGAAGATCGCTTCGGACCTACCGTCATCGCTTCGCAGGTTATTTCGACACGATTGCACATTATGTCGAGGTCGTCGTCGTTCCAGACGTAGAAGAGTCCAGGCCCTCCAGTGTTGTTGAGAGGCTGCGCTTGGAATATCGGACACATGGCGCAGCCGGCTGAAAGTTGGTCAAGCTAGGGAAATACTCTAACCTGGTAAGCACGCCTGAAAGGACTAAAAAAGCTAGCCAAACTTAAAATACCGTGTGCGAAAAAAAAAACTGAGTGATGAAATTTTGGAAGAAATTGGACTTTCAAACAACGTTGAATGAATAATTTACTGAAGACTGTGTTTAAAAAAAAGAAGAGGTACTAATTTTTTTCAAAAATGTACTTTTCACATTCAAACTGGGAAATTACCGAGAGTTTTGATAAAATCTGCAAAAAGCTTTTGAGAGACCTAGTGGCGTCAATGTCGATTTTTTTTAAATTTACGCTAAAATAAAAATCTCAAACTTGGCGGCCCGGACGCCGTTGTTGTTGGTTCCTGAGGACCGATGGTCGATTCAACGGGTTCTTCTGTGTTCGATGGTACCGTAGGATTCACGACAGGCGGCTCAGTCGATTCGGGCTCATTCGGAGTGGTTGGCGCCTTTGTCGAGGTCGTTTTTCGCGTCGTTTTTCGCGTCGTTTTTGGTGTGGTTTTTGGCGTCGTCGTCGAAACGATAGGCTTCGTTGTCGTGGTGGCCTTCTTAGTTGTTGCTTTTTTCGTCGTCACAACTTCTAATTCGGTCGTTTCGAACGGCGTCATAGTAATCATCGGCGTGGTTGAAAGCTCATCTGCAGAAAATAAAACTGACAAGCTCTACAGAAATTTCGATGGAGTTGAAATATACATTTACCTGATCGTGAACCATTCCTACTCTTTTTTTTCGTTGAAAATAAACTTTAGCGAAAATTTTTTCCAGAAACAAATGAACTTTTTCTCGGGAATTATCTCAAACTTTAAATAAAAAAATAAGCATTTTCGTGAAACAAAAAACTTTGAAAAAAATTTTAGTACAAAGTTAAAAAAATTAGATATTTTACATACAGAAAAAAACACAGAACAAGACATTCATTTTGATCGAGAGGAGAAAAATTTCAGAACTGACCTTCGATCATGATGCACGAAATGTTCTTGACAATAGTTCCCGTCGGCTGGTCCAGCCACTTAGATTTTGCGTTGCAGGTGAAAGTTCGGTTGAGCGTAGGTCCAGTGATATCCGTCAGTTCGTTGTTGAACATGAACTCGACTGTTGAATGGGTCTTGAAATCATCAATTGACATTTTGAAATCATTCGGATTGAACTGACATTGGTTGGCAAGCAATAGACTTTGACAGAGAGACACATTCCGATAGTGTGGTCGAGATAAGTCACGCCTTCTGGATACGTTGATTGGCTGGCGACTAACTGCGAGCAGTTCATGCAAGGATTGTTTGGATCAACTTAAATTTTCTCAGGTTTCAGATGAGATCCCCATAAAAATAACCTCCAGGTATTTTCGTCGTCGGTTTCGCTGTGGTCGTCGCTGGAACAAAATTCTTTGCTTGAACTTGTTTATGAGTTAAAAAATCACCTGGAACGTCGTAGACGCATCCCAATGACGTCACTTTGCGATTTGTGCCGTCCAGAATTATCCATTCACCGTCTCGACAGGCCAAGTTTATGTTCAAAGGGTTATCCTTCCTGTTATCCGACAAGTCGCCGCTGAGGATCGTCGCCACAGGTCGGTTATCACCGATCTAACCACACTGATATATTTTCATGGAATCATTTCCCCACCGTAATAGGACGACAGAAGAACTGAACGTAGTAACAATCGTTGGCCGAATAGCGATTCAACACGGGCGCCGCATCGTCGAACGGTTCCCCGTTGAACAATTGGACGTTCAGGTAAGAACAGTCTTTGCATGTTGTCCCTGAAGTCCCCGTTTTCGGATAATTGATACATGAAAAAAAAGAAAATAAATTCAAAAAATACAAAAGCGCCAGTTTCGAAGAACTGTTCTTTTTCGATGAGACGATTTCACCTTTCATCATGAAAAGAATGAAATAGTAAATTGGCAAGGATTCTCAAAAATTTTAATAGGAGAGTAAATTGAAGTTTTTGCGCGTAGATCCAAAATTCTTCGTGTGAACACATTAATTACGGCCAATACATCGGATCTCACGGGAAAAAATTTGGTTTTTTTCTTAACTGTTACTTTATCGGCCCTTTGGGGGGCGGAGCTTGAGCGACGAATTGAAATTAAAAAAACTTAAAACACAAAAAAATGTCCAAATTTTTTTCGTTTTTTTAATAAAAAAATTTTTTTGAACTAACAAAAATAAGAAGTTGTTGAAGTCATCGCAGGTGGATCTGAAAAACGATTGAGAAATCAGGAGAAGATATTTATCAAACCTGATGTTACAATGAGCGTAGATTCTCCTCCTGTAGTTGGACTTTCCTCGATTACAGTAACTTCTGTCGCTCTTGTTTCTGCCGGTTCACTGGTGACTTGGACAGGAACAGTTGTGATCTCAGCAGGAACAGAGCTAGCGACTGCTGGAGAAGTAGCTTGAGCTGGAGTTGTGGCTTGAACGGGGACTGTAGTAACTTCAGCGGGAACTGTGCTAGCTACGGCTGGCGAGGTGACCTCAGCTGGAGCAGTAGTGACTTCCGCGGGGACTGTGCTGAGTTCAGCGGGAGAAGTAACCTCCACAGGGTCAGTAGTAGCGGCTGCTAGAGTTGTAACTTCAACTGGGGTAGTGGTAGCTAAGGCGGGTGATGTTACTTCTGCAGGAGTCGTACTAAGTTCAGCAGGCTTGGTAGTAGCTTCAGCAGGAGTTGTAACTTCCACAGGAGCAGTAGTAAATCCAGCTGAGGTTGTATCTTCAGCTGGAGCAGTACTAGCCTCCGCCGGAGTCGTAGGTTTGGCCGGATCGGTAGTTTCTTCTGCTGAAGTCGTAGCATCAGCCGGCGTCGTGGTGAATTGAGAAGGCGTGCTCGTCGGCGCCTGCGTAGTTCTGCATTTCCGAGTGGCAGTGGGCGCAGTGGCCGTCGAGTCTCCAGGTTGAGTGATCGGAAGCGGATTCGCGATTCCGCCGTCGTCGCCGCCGCCCGGTAGCGGACCCATCGTCACGTCGTCAGCGCCGCACTCATCTTCCGGCGGAGGTCCCAGTGTTTCGAATTCTATGGGAACTGTACTTCCACCTTCTGCAGGTTCGGTAGAGGCTGCAAAGGGGTTTTTTACAGGGAAGCCCTACTGTAACTTCCTGAGAGCTGGCTGGGATTTGTACCGAATGAATTTTCATAAAATTTCAATCTGCTAGGCTTTAAAGTTTTCGAGAAAAAAACTATCATTATTAAACTTTTTAACTTTTTAAATTTTTTGTAATCATTCTCCCTATTTCCCTTTCTGACCATGTTTAGTTGTCTCTGGCCCCTCCGTAGTGACTGTTGTAGCGACAGTCGTCTCGATGGTCGTGAATGGGATCGTCGTCGGCATCGGAGTTGTCCTGCAGACGGTCGAACGCGTGGATCCTCCCAAGGGAGCCGTCGTCACTCCGTTTGTTGGACTTGCCACGGTCGTTCCTTGTTGAGTCGTAGGTTTATCAGGATCTGTTACAGGGGCTTCCGTGCCTGTAATTTAAAAGATCACAGATATCATTTTTCAAATAATTTTCTAGCGGTAGTCGATCTAATTTTTGAGAAAACATACGTCAAATAAACATGAGTTTTGAAAGCGCAATTTGCAATATTTTAAAAAATTAGATAAAAAACCTAACAAAAAAATAATAATATCTTCGAACCTCCATCTGTACTTCCTTCTGACGTGGTCGCCTTTCCTTCTGTCACCGAACTCTGGGTTGTGGAAACCGAAGTTGCTTCATTTAGTGTCGTAGTCGCAGTAGATGCCGTCGTCACGGCTTCAGTGGTTACCGTAGTTTTATCTTCTGCCGCCGTGGTCGTCCCCTTTTCAGTCGTTGCCGTCGTTTTTTGTTCAGTTGTCGTCGTTTTCGATTCTGCAGTTGTTGTGACGTCATCTTCCGTCGTCGTCGGTTCCATCGTCGTCGTGTCCTCTTCGGGGGGAGCTGTTCTGAAGTGGATCCTCTCGGTTTTTCATTTTTTGTTTCTTCACTCACGTGCCCCAATCAAAGAGAATCGTAGAATAATACACTGAAAAATAAATTTTCAAAGTTTTTTTTTTGCTTCAAATTAACCTGGCGTGGTTGTTGTGCCGCAAACAAGCGTGTCTGAGAAGGAGCCCCTGAATTTTCTTTGCTCAGTTTTTATCGTCAGGCTAGAAGTTTCTGTTTTCTTTTCATCTTGACAAAAATGGATACTTTTTGGCAAAAACTGTGAAACTCTACTCCAACTCTTCCTATAGAGGTATTTTTTGGTTTGCACTATCTTTCGGCTAAAAAGAGGTAAGTGAGGTCAAAAAATATACAGAAGTGTACATTGCTCTTTGCTTCGACTCTCGATGAAACTATTCAAAAATCTTTCTAAGATTTTGAATATTTTTTTTCTGGGTACATAGGTGTACAGAAAAATGTTGTGACTAAAGCATCACAGCTTTTTTTTCAAGTAGTGCAGTCAATTAGCGATAATGAGGAGCTGACTTGATTAATTGGAGCGGACAAAGGGGGGAGATTACTGTATCCCCTACATCGTTACCATGACACTGATTAAAGCGAATGGATTTTCCGCGAGTCTCAGTATATTCCTTCACCATGAACTGCGTAATGTTGATCGAATTTCTCTCCTACTTCACCTTGTTCCTAATTGTGGGCCTTGGACTTCACCTACGTAAGTCTTTGAAACTAAAAGATGTTTAGTTATGAAATGAATTTGCAGTCTTCTGCCGGACCTACAAGTTGATTCATAACAAGAGGAAAGAGAGACAAGAAGCCGTGACCCGAGGCATCATGTACTCGGTCGTGCTCACTCCGATGCGTCCCCAGCCCAGCATACCGTGAAAATCAAACCGAAACCGGCGGTTATAATGTTGTTCAATAAACATATTATTGGTTTTCGAGAAGTTTTGAGTTGCAAGCATTTCATTGAGCATTGATGATTCCAGTCGTGACAAACGGAGCGTTTTTGATTTTGAGAAATTTTATCAATCAAGGCGAAGCAAAACAAAGTTATTCGAGTGGAAAAAGGAAAGGCCTTGGTAGATTATTAATCGTTACCATGGCACTGATCATCTCACACTTTCTTCCGAAGTTCAGTTCTCTACTCGATTATAACAAAAGTTCCTGCTAGCCGATTTCTCGTCCTCCATCATGAAGGATCCGATCCCGGCTTACTTTTTGGTTTTACTAGTTATCTTCATCTGGATTTTTCTGAGTAAGTTTTGAGAGTTCGATGCGAAACTTCAGATTATATTTCAGTCATGCGCCATGTAGCTGATCTCTTGAACGAACGGAGAGAAGAGACACCAGAAGTCGAGCTCACGGACTTCGTTTACCCGGTCATGCTCACTACACTGGACTCCGAAATCTACACGCCCTGAGAGCCAAAATGAAACCGATTGTTGTATCCTTGTTGAATAAAAATATGGACTGTTTGGAGTTTTCTGCATGAAGAAGAGAAGGAAGTTGATTCGCATAAAATTTTTTTAATGTTTCGGGAATGCCTAGACGCTACACTTCCCATTTTTAAACTTCGTAGAAAGTTGAACAAAACTCAATTTTTCTTCGTTCTTCGATTTTTCTCTGGTTTTAAGCTGAATATTCAAAATGAAAACAGAAAACTGGTGGAATCTGATTATACTAGTCAAAAGCTGCACGACCGTATTACGTCATCGCTTCAAGAAGCACGATTATCCGAAGTCTTGGCAGAAGCTGTGTTTTCAAGAAATGGAATCACTCAAGAAGAAGAAAAACAGAGTTATTCAAGCGGAAGAAAGGAAAGGTCTCTGTAGATTACTCATCGTTACCATGGCATTGATTATCACATCGCCTTCTCTCATAATTCATTTCTTCCGACTTGAAACGCCGTTTCGCGGCGTTTCTGAAATCTGCGCGAAACGGTCGCGATGCATTCTCGGCATCACTACAACAGTTATCGCGGCGATATAATTTTTTGTGTGCATTATCTTCCATTATTTATTGATGAGAGTCCAGCATCTACTTTGATCTTATTGATCGGTTCCATTATCAGGGAAAAAATACAATTATTTTTAATTCGTGCCGAAAACGCATCGCGACCGCTTTGCGCAGAAACTAATGCTACGCCCCGGGGTTTCAAATCGAGTTAATGAATTACAGCCGCCTCCTTCGTAATGCATTGCGCGGAGGCTATCTCCTATCTCTTCTTCATTATCTGTATCATTTGTGAACTTTTGTTTGGTAAGTTTCAAAAGAGTGATTGAACGTTTTCAAAGTTTGATTCAGGATATCACAGGATGCGCCTAATTATGATGCGACTTTCCGAACGGTGAGTCCGTCAAATTGAAAGAATTTGGAGAAAAAGGATCGACTTCCAATTCAGCAATAGTTGATTCGTAAATCTTGTGAAATATTCCACAAAAAAAAACTAGGATAGGCAAGAAACTGACTTCTATTTTTTGGAATCTGTTAAACATTTAACTTGAAATTTTATCGAAATTCAGAGAGGACACCGATCTTGGGACATCCCGCGAAGAAGAGACGCCAAAAGACGTGGTCGAGTGCGACCCGACTTCATCCAAGCTCTTGGGTACACTCTCCGGAACTCACACTCCGTGAAAACCAAAACGAAATGAGTTATTATTCTGTTGTTCAATAATAAACGTATTATTGGTGTTTTGGTTTACTATGCACAGCTGAAATATGTTTGAAAAACTTTTTGGAATGCTTTTTTTTGCATTTTCTACGACTAGAAGAACTTTGACCAAGAGAACGGAAGTCGCACTACAGAGTTTCGAGTCTTTGCTGGGAAATTCTACAGAAAAAATGTAACGGCCATCAAAACAGGAAGAAAGGAAGGAGAAAAATAGAATTTCACAGTTTACGAATAGTTTTCGAAAGCATCAAGATGACCTATTGAAAATGAAGCTTTTCGATTTGTATTTTATTAAAAAGCAAGGACTTCAGCACGAAATGTATTCTCCACACGGAGCTTGGTGAGATGCAAATAGAAAATTCTTGATCTGTCGTAAGGACTGTTTTTTTACACTTTCGGTCTCTCCTTTATAAAGTTTATAAGAACTAAGGTTAGTTTTTCTATTGGATTGAATTTTTTTAACGAATTATTTCGATTTTTTTAAGCCATAATGCGTCATTAAAAATAATATCAAGTCTCCGAGATTGGAGAACAAATTTTTTTTCATTTAAAAAAAATCACGGCCGCTACGGGCTCCGAGCCAAAATTGTAAGTTGTTATATTTCATGATGAAATAATCCATCAACATTAACGCTCACTTTTCTACGACTGATTAGTACTTTTCCACGAATACCAGAAAATCGACTCACGTGCACTTCATCGAGGACGGAATAATGCAGCCCGTTGGCTGTTGCTGGCAGGTTCGCGTGCGGGTCTGCACGACCTGCGGCGAGATCGGGGTGTTCGGAGGACAGGCCGTCCAGGAGCCCCACTCTCCCCAAAGGGTTCCGGAGCATGAGAGCAGCGCAGAAGACGGCTGCACCAGCCCCAAAAATACGAAAAATGTCAGGCTCCAATGCCGCAGTGCTGACGGTCCGGCGCCAGCATTTCGTCGCTCTGCACCCATCAATTTTCTAAAGAGGTTCTTCAAGTTTCCGGAAGTGGAAATATGAAGTTTACTTTGACCCAAGATGAGCCTTTGGTCGCTTGTGAAATGGCTCGAGAAAAACGATCGAACTGCGGTTGATTTTTCAACTCTCTTGAAACGCATCGAGCCATTCCCTTTGCGACCAACTTGTTTCAAGTTAGGAAAAAAATACAAAAATAAAAAAATATTTATTAAAGTGAATAAAAACCCTCCAAAACATAAAAGAAAATTTGAAGCTTACCTGAAACAGAGCTGATACCCATAAGGAATGCTAGTGCGCGGCGCAATTTTTCCTTTTGCGATTCTTGTCGAATCGACAAATGTTTCGCCTTGTAGTCCCTTAAGTGGTCATTATCCCGTGACTTCGAAAGCATCGCAAAGTTATGAAAGAAAAGAAAAAAAGAAGCTACGCCAAAATGGAAAATGGTCCCACCAAATTCTGGCGAAGCTGAAATCAGTTCAACTAAAGATAAACATTTTTTAATGAAACTTTAAAAAAAAATAACAGAATTTAGAAGAAAATTGAGAAAAGAAGACTACGGTTGAGTTAGAACGAAGCGATCGTGTGATGCGCCCATTTGCCCATCGAAACGGCGGTTAATCCGCGACAAACGAGCTCCGCCAACCGTTCAACTTGACGATCAGCGTGCTCGCGTCACGTTTTTTCACCTTTAGATGAGTTTCAAAACTTCCGGTACCTGATCAGGGACTTCTCGGTGCTGCTTCCAGTGCACTTATGTGATGAATCGACGTTTGCTTATGAAGACATCTTGAAGAACTCTCATGATGAATGCCGTCCCGTACTGAAAATTAGCGAATCTAATAGGTGAAGATTTTGATTTTTTTTTAATTTTTTGAAGGCGTTTTAAAGCTCAATTAAAGTAAGCTTGTAAAAGTTGGCGCAAATCTTCTAAAATCTTCTTTTAAATCTCCTGTACAGATTACAATGTGTGAGCCATCTTACTATTCTTCAAATAGCCTTGACGAAAATCCGGTTTTTTTTCTTCCACCAAAGAAAGTCTAAAAAGGAACTTCATGTTGGAAAAAAATCTGCCACAGTAAACACAAACTTTTGAAAAAAAAAATCCCGTTCTCTTCCCTATAACGAGTACGCAGAGATCCAAAAGGTTTCATAGACATGTTTTCAATCGCAACGTCATATGTATTTGCAGGGACTGAAGTTCAAACTATGAATAAAAAAATAAAATTTTTAATAAGAAATTTTTTTCAAAGTTACCGCATGGCAAGTCCGCGAACACATCTTTGTACTAAAACAATCTATTTGACGGCATGTTTAAATTCAAGTTTCAATTTTTTTTTAACAAAGTAAAATTTGTTATAATTTTCTCAACTTTCAATTGTAAATTTTTTTTGTGATTTCTTATCGAATATTATACCTTTGATTCACAGGGCCTTGCCTTCACTCGAAGTGTCATAAATGCTAAATTCTGAATCTTTGCAGTATTTAACGACAAAATGCAACACAATCGACTGAGAAAGAACATACAAATTTGGCATGGATCCGGTAAGTTTTTTTTTCTCTGCTTTCCCAAAGTTTATGTAGAGGAAGATTTTCTTCAAAAATTTTTTAAATCACGCAGAATGCCTTAATGTTTAACGATTCAACTGAACCATGGAAACGAAGCCCATTTTATAGTTCCTCTTATTTTTTAAGTACAGAAAGGATTCGTAAATTATTGCCATTTTTATGTATTCCAGTTTATATTTCAGGAGAGGTACCTCGAATGTCTGGCTTTGCTTACTAAAAATGATTTATTAGGATCGTAAACCCAATAAAAAACGGTCGTTATTGGAAGTTTTTCTCCCAATAACCGCAAAGTAAGCGAGTTTAGGCTTCCAAAAGCCTCGTTAAAATGATTGCCGTTTTCATATATAATTTTCGCAAGTTCCACTTTTTTCCCATTAGTTTTGCTCTGTGATAAGTTAAATTCCGAAGTAGACGAAGGAAGATGTGAATTAGAGTATGAAACAGACGCTGGCTTTTGAAGAGCCTTCATAATTTCTTGAGTCGGGAAAAATTCTCCAGATTCCTTTCTGCGAAATTGACTCGTCCAATTTATACTCTTTTCTCTATATGTAAATGCATGACTGAACTCAATCTTCTGGTTTCCGTTCAAAGGATTTTCTTCGGCATCTGATGAATAAAAAAACCATTCAACCCTCTTTTTTTTTTTAGGTAAACCATCAAAAGTTCATAAGAATGATTTTGGATCCACATTCACCACGTCAACGACGTGATTAGGTCCAAGTTTGGTGAATTAATGGAGAGACGAGAATAATTAAACGCTGATCTTTCTGAATAGAGTTATTATAAATGACGTGCTAGGTGGTTTGAATTTATAAATAGCATTCGAAAGAAGGTCGCAAAATTTTTGAGCAAGAGAAAGATACTTCAACGAGTACCGTATGACTTTCACTGCGCATCAGCCCAAATTCCTGAGTTTTTTATGTTCTAACAATGATGAACATTGTTTTCAGATGCTCAAAGCTGCAAATAGCATTATGCTCGCCAGCTGCTTTCTATTCAAGTTTAGCTCCGAAAATGTCGTTACGTGCTATATCAACATTATCTTTTTTGCTTGTTTTTCTTTCTTAAAATTTGATTATGCTTTATGTAACTAATTTGGAACAGAGATGAAGGTTTTTATTCATGAGACTGACTATTTGAGATATCTTGTAGATTTAACTGATATTATCCGATCGAAGGGTTATTTATTGGTAGATCTCGAAGTGCAAACCCTAATAATTCATCATTCTTTGAAACTTCTATCTACCAAAGATGTAGAAAAATAAGTTTGGAAAGGGCGGCCTAATTATTTTCTTTTTTTTGTTACCAAGTCTTCGCAGCTCAAAAACAAGCTTATATTCTGTTTTTTGCTTTCTTTCCCCACATAGTAGCTTTGAATTTTTTTTTTCAGATTTTTTAAAGCTAGGAATCTAGAAAAACCCATGACGCTCCAAGGATTAAGTTGAAAGTGGAAGCTAACTCTTTCTATTTCATGACAATATAACTGTTTAGTAATAATCGTTCATATCCTCTCTGATCTCCAAATCATCGACATCAATGATGCCACGAGTTTTGCCACTTGTTTTCCTGCATCCATGCTGAATAATTGTGTGTCTAAGGATTCTTTTGGCCTTTCAGGAGCTTTTATAATTTCTTTTTCAGCTATATAGCGCTTGATGTATGTTCTAGAGGCGAGTTTTATCAGTTTCTTTCAACTTTAGGCAGTTTGATCATAAGCAGCGTAAGAAAACTGGAGAGCGCGAGGCGGAGCCAAAATTTTTTTTGGGTCTGGAATTTTCTGCTCGAAGCCCACTGCTAAAAATCGCGTTCTAGAACGACCTTCATGAGATCCATCCCAAGCCTTTAACAATTTATTTTTAATTCATTTTATTTTTGGCGAAGAAAACACCCGAACAGAAATTGTTGAACAATTTGAAACCTTAAAGCTAACTGGTTCGAGTGAGTTTGTCGTTTCTGGGTGGAACTAGCCACCTTTTGAGCAGAGAACCTTTACTTTGTTGGTTGAGCAGTGAACCAAGTAAATTCCTCAAGATTTTCTTTCTGATTCGTGGTTTTATTTTGCACCTGCGTGCCCCTATATTTAACCATTTTGGAGCAGATGAACTTTTTCTCTCCCACCCAAACTCTTTCCAAGTTTCAAATGAATATGTATCTGAAGGTTTGATTCCTTAACCAGCGCTTTTTCCTTGTTACACGGATTTTTCACTCATCCGAAATTGAGCCAATATTATTCATATTTCTTTGAAGCGCTCCTTTTATCCTTAGAAGAATATTTTCAAATTGTTTTCCTTTACTGTGTTGTTGCCACCCTGTTGTTGATGCATCTTTTTCGAAGGCTTTAGGAAGCCCAAGCAACTTTTCGTGCCGTTTGTTTCTTCTCAAGAAAAATTTACATGAAAAAGTGCGTCCGATCTTGAAACTATTTCCATTCTGATTTTTTTACAAGAATGGCGAAAATTTTTCGAGCGAGTTTATATAAAAAAAATCTTCTAGAAAGAGACTGCTAAGACCACCCTGACGGATTGGCTAATAATTTATTTTCTTTTTTTTTTTTTCAATTGTTTATTTTTCGCAACATCGGGATGGTATGGTGATGTTGCAGGGAGGGAAAAAGACCACTAGGTGGATTAACTAACCCCACCTGTGAAGAAAAAAAAAGTTTTTTGTGTAAGAAAAGAAACATAGAACCATAATAAGTAGATATTAAAACCGAGTTGATCACTTATTATGCAAAAACTGATGTGATAATACCAGATCCTTAACTAAACGCCTAAACCAAAGAGGTTGAAGACCTAAAAGTTTTAACCGTTCATTATATTCCATTCTTGGGGAAAGGCGCTTCGTGAAACGCCTCTGGACCGATTCTAATCGATCAATATCTGACTTTGTCAATGGACACATTAGTTCCGAACCATACTCTGGAATGGGAAGTACCTTGGCCTTATAGCATGTCAAGAAGTTTTTGTTTCGAGAAGCTAAAACAGCGGAATAGGTTGTTTATAATACGCGTAGTTTTTTTTGACGATAACTTCAATATTATTATGCATTTTGAGGTTAGATGAAAAAATAACTCCGAGATCTTTCACACAATCCTCGTTATTCACTGTTGTACCATTAAGCTCGTAACTCGCAACACTTCGAACTCGTTTACCATAACTAACATGGAGACTTTTATTTGCTGAAAGTATGAGTTGTCTATGTCAAAGAAAAAGTGACTCTAAAGGTTTTTAGCACCGAGAAGAAGGGAATTTCTGTGTCACGAAATTCCCATCTTTTTAGCTCAGTTTTGAATCTTCCTTTCTCTTTTCATGCAAATCGGTAGAGGTTCAAGGAACTGGCATTCAAAAAGCGATAGTTGAGAACTTTCTATGCATTGTGAAGGGAGATTTTTCTCCTAGCGACCAAACTTCCAAAAAAGCTATGAAATTTAAATATCAAAGCAGGCAACCAACTGGCTTTATAAAGTGAACAGAGATCATCGTATTTTCTCTGGTCTGCCGTGATGCTCATTTAATTGTCAAGAAATTTTCGAACAATAAAAAAAGGAAAC